CAGCCATGCTGGCTGGGGAATTCTGGGAGTTGAAGTCCACACATCTTCAAGTGGCCAAGGTGGAAAAACACTGATTGAAAGCCTCAGCTTTGCAAAATAGAAAGTGTACAAAGCTCAGTTTTACACCTTATTAATTTTGTGGTGGCTGTTAGCAGCAGCAGCAACAACAGGGGTGTTGGCCGGGTGTGGTCCAAAAAGTCAAGATGGCAGTTGCAACCATCAAAGCTCCACCCAGATGCTTATAATAAATGGGCAGGGCTTCCATCGCAGCTGCTATCTTGACTTTTTGGACCACGCGCTGCCAACGCCCCTGAGCAACGGCAGCAGTTGGAAGCATCTGCCTCCTGTCTTTTCTATGAGAGCTAAAGACATCTTACATGGGAATTTAACCTAATGAATTAATTTCATCTAGTTTTACCTCCAGAACAACAACCTTGAGAGGGAGGTTGGCCTGAAAGACAGTTCTCGGTCCCGAGACACCGCTGAACTTGTATGGCTGGTGATAGGCTTGAATCTCAATGTCTTCCTGTCCAAGAACAACAACTTAACTACTGCATTATACTGGTGTTTGGTAATATTATATCTATAAAATATCCTTATTATTATTATTATTATTATTATTACATTTATACACTTGCTTTCTGGATTTGTAAATATTCAAGGCAGTTCAAAAGAATTACAAAATACAAAATGCAAAGTATACCCCAACATAAATGCAACTGAAACCACATTCATTATAATAAAAACTAAAATAATTAATACACCTCTTTCATGGTCTGAGATGAGAGCGACACCTGATGCCCAGCTGTTCTGCTTACCCAATGCTAAGAGATCTTGCTCTAATGAAATTACTAGGAAATATGAAACCAAGATGAAAATAAGCAATAATTTGACCTGGGATCTCCAAGGGTGCTCATGCGCCCTAGTGTGGGCGTAGGTCTTGCCCTATCAGCCCGTTCCCTACTCCTTTGTTTAAATTTTTAGATGGATGCATGGATGCATGGATGCATGGATGGATGCATGGATGCATGGATGCATGGATGCATGGGGGGGAGGGAGGGAGGGAGGGAGGGAGGAAGGAAGGAAGGAAGGAAGGAAGGAAGGAAGGGAGGGAGGAGAGGGGGGGAGGGAGGGAGGGAGGGAGGGAGGGAGGGAGGGAGGGAGGGAGGGAGGGAGGGAGGGAGGGAGGGAGGGAGGGAGGGAGGGAGGGAGGGAGGGAGGGAGGGAGGGAGGGAGGGAGGGAGGGAGGGAGGGAGGGAGGGAGGGAGGGAGGGAGGGAGGGAGGGAGGGAGGGAGGGAGGGAGGGAGGGAGGGAGGGAGGGAGGGAGGGAGGGAGGGAGGGAGGGAGGGAGGGAGGGAGGGAGGGAGGGAGGGAGGGAGGGAGGGAGGGAGGGAGGGAGGGAGGGAGGGAGGGAGGGAGGGAGGGAGGGAGGGAGGGAGGGAGGGAGGGAGGGAGGGAGGGAGGGAGGGAGGGAGGGAGGGAGGGAGGAAGGAAGGAAGGAAGGAAGGAAGGAAGGAAGGAAGGAAGGAAGGAAGGAAGGACGGACGTGGGGCGGATTTGATCATGCAGTTGCAGCCACCATCCTGACTTTCTGGACCTCTCCATGGATGCCCCTGGCTAACTGGCCCCAACAAGTGTGGGTGGCCTGCTCTCTGATTCCATGTTTCTATTTTTTTAGAAAGCTCTTCACACACCTTTCAGGTTCACCATCCTTCTGCACAGGTCAACACAAACATACGATGTTTTGGAAGCACGGCCATTAAAACATTTGAGGATGATTGATGAGCTCTATTCAAGCACTGAAGAGGGTCCTCTAAGCGGCACTAATTGTTTATCAGTTCTGGCAGCTGAACGCAACACAAAACGTTGGGGGTATTGATTGTTCTGTATTGAAGGCTATGGCTAAATCTGAACATTTTATTGATTGTTTCCACAGGGGCCTGGAAGTGTCACAGGCAGCTTTCAACCACACCTTTTACAAAGATCTTTACACCAGGAGGAGTCATTTAATAGTTCTCAACTGTCAGCTGTCTGGATACCTGTAGGTATCATGGAAACATTTGCAGGTCTTTCCACTCCCCCTCTGAAATAAAACATTTTCCAGGAAAAAAATTGACTAATGTTGGGGGAGGTGGGGGGAAACAGGCACAGTTAAGGAGAAAAATTGTTTTATTGGGGGGGGGGTCAGTGCTATTGATTTGAATGTGACACCCAATTTCTGCTGGGTTGGGCTTTCAACAATCACAAGTTTTCTTGCTCATTGAAGATTTTAATATGTCTTCAATAAGGGGGCGTAATATGAGGATCTCCCACGAGTTCTTAACTGCTGTTAGCAAATCTCTGCTTGAGTTGATAGCACATCACTTCAATGAACATTTGCATTTCTATCACATTTTCTTGTTTCAGCAGGATTTCCCCACTTTCACATGCCCTTGCTGGTTTGTTAGCAAGATTTCATCTCAGATGAAATATTTTCCCCACATTCTTCAATATTCTTTGATGTTTCTTAGTCCTGCTTCTGTCCTTCATTCCTTGCTCCTCAAATGAAGGATCCAACTGCGAACATCATGCTGGGCACGGAATATGCTACGGAGATCTTTCCAGATTTCAGCCAAGGACCTGAATGTTCATTTTAGTTTTAGACGCTAGGCAGGGAAGTGTGATGGGCCTGGTTCTAAAACTAAAATGGAAACTCAGACACTTGACTGAACCGGTTGGTCCAGGAAGTCCTCCTACATGTGTGAGTTGCCCCCATGGTCTTCAAACTTCTTCCCATTGAAATTCAGGAAGCAACTATTGTAACATCTTTTAGGTGCGTGTTAAAAACTCACATCTTCACCATGAACTCTCCTGGTATGACTATCAATTTCCCCCCCAGCTTCCTCCCATCTTTTTAATGAATGTGCTTTATTGTATAGCTGTTTTTCTGACAGAGCACATCAAGATGCTTCAGCACTGGAAGCATTATGCAAATATATCCAATCAAATCAACACCAAATAGTCAGAAAGGTGGGAAAAAAGTAGTCCAAGTATATCTGAATGTGCCAAAGGCCGTGGCTTCAGTTGTGGTACCAACACCCGCCATCTTGCGATTCCCCCCCTCCCACCCCTTGCTGGGCTGGGGAAAGAAGGCGCAATGAAGTGATGCAGAAACCCACAAGAGCCAGTGAGGTTTGCAGCAAACCGACCTGCGAAGTGGACGATGCCGTGTCGAGCTACATCGTAGTAGGGGTGAGTCATTCTTATTCCGACTTCTCGGTTTGACTGCACTGCTGAGAAGCTCCTGATTTCTTCCATCCCTGCGTTTTCAGCTTCTTCTTTCTGCAGTTCTGAAGCAAACCAAAATTGAGAATCATTGTGGGAAACAAGACAAAAATTACTGTTCCTCCAATCATTTGAAGCTATCCATTAAGCAAGGTACTTTTAGCTTAGTTTTCTACTTCCATATAGCGGGTGACAAGGCTAGATCACCAGATTACCCAACTGTCCTTTCCAGTGGGAAAATAATCACACTTTCTGGTAGGGATATTGATCTGTAGACCACCGGCAGATCCCCCTCCTATTAAAATTAGAAAATATTGATCATGCTGTTTTACAACTACAACTTTTCTTTCCCCTTTTTGACGTAACCCTTTTTTTCTTGGGAGGACAGTGGATATTAAAAAAAAAAAAAAATTAAGTAGGCCTTTCCTGGGGATGCAAAGGACTTGCCCAAACTTTTATTTACAATAAGAAATTTCATGTGGTTATAAATGCATAAAAGTTGTGCATTTTTGTTATTCTGGATGCCTGTTAATGTCACTGCTTATCCCGAATATGAGAGTTGTGTCAGTAAGGAAAGGATCTCAGTTTTTTTAATCTTATATTTAACTTGCACCCGCTTCATAATGTTATAATGCTGCAAATGAGCGCATCTGGGCTGGGTTCATTTTGGAATCACTAGTAGTGAAGATCTGGTACATGGCTTAGGGCCAGGCTATTGTGGGACCACTTTTCTCCCACTGTCTCTACTCACCCCACCAGATCTAGCCTGCTCTGGGTCCCCACTATTAGGTCATCTGCTGGGACCCTGGAGTTGTGCCATCTCAGCGTATCTACTCTATGGAACAGCATCCCCCAGAGATTTGGATGGCCCCAGCGTTGAAGACCCGGTGGCTTCCCCAGGCACTTGGGTCAGGAGATTAGGTGAGCTCTGCTGTTGTTGGTATGGCTTTTTTTGAGAGCGGGGGGGAGTGGGGTTATTGTTTTATGCTCAGGCACCAGGAGCTGTATATTGTGGTTTTGTGTTTTAATTCTTGCATGCTGCCCAGGATCATTTGTTGAGCTGGGGGGGGGGCATATAAATCATATAAATTAATGATTGATGATGATTACGCACCACCAAGTCAGTGTCAACTCTTAATGATCACATAGATGGATTTTCTCCATGACAGTCTGTCCCTAACCTGGCCTTTCAGCTCTTCCAATGGTGCACCCGACGCCATTGTAACTAAGTCCCTCTACCCTGCTGCTGGTTGTCCTCTTCTTCTCTCTCCTTCCACGTTTCCCACTATTAGAGCCTTCTCCAGAGAGCTGGGTCTTGGCATAATGTGTCCCAAATACAACTTGAGTCTAGTCCTCTGTGCTTCACATGAGAACTCTGGGTTGGTTTATTTGGTGATCCATTTTTTTGTTTTCTTGGCTGTCCACAGTATTCTCAGTAGTCTTCTCCAGCACCAAAGTTCAAAAGTGCCAATACTCTTCCTATCTTGCTTCTTCAAAGTCCAACTTTCACTTCCATAGAGGGTCACAGGGAATACCACGGCTTGCATGATTCTGATCTTCATAGGTATACTTCATGGCACTGGAACATTTTTTCCAATAAATACATAAGACATTTTGAGCAGTGAATTTCAAAATATCTTCCCAGAGTTCCTTGAAGATTGTCAGAAATGTCTTCACCACTCAGCAGGGAATGGACAATGAGCTTCTAAGGAAGGCATTTTACCAGCTGGGCTTGCATGGCACTGCCTGAGTACAAGAAGTGCCAGATCTTCTGCAATTTGAGGCTTCAGGTTCTCAAGAACTCAGCAGCAGCCTTGCCTTCAGGAGAGGAGAAAGTTTGGAAAAATTGGTTCCTTTGCTTTTTAAAGGAGTTTTGAAGACTCTCCCTTCTGATTCTTTCAGAAAGTTGGATTATTGCATCACTTCTTTTGGTGGGAGTCTCGGTTGGTCATGTCTGGGCTCAGAAGCTAAGCAGATTTGGGCCTGGTTAGTATTTGGATGGGAGACCCCCAGAAATCCAAGGATTGAGAAGAAGGCGGTGGCAAAATCTTCAGTATTGCATGATGGAGCCCATTAACAGTCACGCTTACCTCCAAGTCTCTGTGTTTTTTCAAAGAAAGCAGCAATTCTGCAGTGGGAAAGTGTCAGAAAGCAAGCCTTGAAAACCTTTGTATTTTAAAAAACCACTTCTCTGCCTTTTTCTCATTCTCTCATGTAAAAAAAAAATCACATAAATAAATAAACTCACCTAAATCTCTGGGAGAAAGGGGGTAGATAGTCCACTTTAGCATGGGGGGAAAATATAGGATGCACCCTACAGGAAACGTCTCCAAGAACTTTGCTGTTCGGTCCCCGAAACCCAGAGATCCCCGAGGGAGGGGAGAGGGGAAGATGGGGTGGGGACTGAGGCAAAGCTGAGAGCAGGCAGCTGAAGAAGAGAGGTATATACAAAATACCTTCCTATAAAAGATGCAAAAGCTGCTTTACCGTCCGTCGCGAAGAGAGAAGCTGCAGCACCACCTTGAGGTCACACGAGATGTGGCCCGGCCGGATATTTGCACCATCCCGTTCCTAAAAGCAGTGGGAGGGCACCGGCGTTCGCCAAGGCGAAAGTGAGCAATTCATCACTGTTTCCAAGGCTCCTTGGTTTTTAACTTCTTTCCTCTCTCCAAGCGCGGCTTGTTTCCAGAGAGGGACTGGATGCACTTCCAAAACTGAAAAAGGGTCTCTTGAGGCTCCCTTGGGTCCTTCTTGGCCACCAGGCAGAAATGGCTCGCTGTGGCTCTCTCCTTTCGCTTCCCACCTTGCAGACCAAGCAGGCGGCTCTTCTTACTCCTCTGCTCTTTCTATTCTCAAAAACAGGCCTTTCCCTTCCACAAAATCCACCAGAGAGGTAAAAATACGGTAGCTCTCTCGTCTGGCTTGGCCCTCAGTACCGTAGCTGGTGTACCAAAAACATTGAAAGGACCGTTTTCTGCGTCCAGCGCTGCTTAATCACCTCTGTTATTAAAAATTACTTTGCAGGGGCTTCCGCGGGAGCGTCAAGAAAGCCCGGAGGTGACTTCAATTGTACAGTCACAGCTGTCATTTTGCCTTTTTTATATATATATATACCCCTCTCCCAGGTGCCCCTGAACAGAAATAAGAAATACCGTGTAAGCATCAAAGTGCAAGGCACCAGATAAAGATTCAGAAGGGCGTGTTTTAATCACACACAAGAACCAGCTCTCCAGACGCACTGAAGCAACGGCACGTTTTATAAGAGTTGAGTAAAGTTCTAATGGCAAAATTAAGGGTGATGGAAATGGACTTCAACTTGTTTTAAGATTGGTTGGACCACCATTTATTAAGGAGAATACAAAATCCCTGCTGAATTGAGAGCCTAATTATTCATGGCTTAAGAACATGAAAATCATCTTGTCGGGTGAAACTCTGGTCAAAGATACCAACATTTTTGGGAGTCCACAAGCAATCGTTTTCTCATCAAGCCATTCGAATGCACCCTTGCCCATTTTTTCATGCGTGTCTTTTTAAATTTTCCATAATGTTATTGTTTTTGGAAGTCAAAGGCCTGGATTATCCCATGTTAACAGCAATTTCTCAAAGGGATGGGTCCTCAACATCACTGGATGTATGGCTAAGTTCACCCTAATGCCTTCAAAAGACAGTTGAGAAGGGAGCATCTCCAGCCTTGTGGCGTTCCTGTTTAAAGTCATTATTCCACTTGTGCCACAATTTATGACGATAGCAATATTATCGCCCAAAATTTCACAGGAAGCAGATACCAATAATTCATATACACTATGTGCATTAAACTAAACTTCAGCCTTAACAACTTTTGATGAGATGGCCACAGGAGAGTTTGTAACTCAAATACGTTACGCAGTCCCAGCAAACTTTTTTTTTTTTCCCACTTTGGGCAGAAGATCTTCCAAATCTCCCAGGAGATATCACTCGGTGGGCCAAAATGTATAGAGAGATTGATATATTTACCTATTTCTGCTAATTTTTCAAAGTCCGTTGCAGACATCCTTTGGGTGAACAAAATCCGTTTATCAAGCCAGCGGTTGACTGATGCTCCTTGAATGCTCGATCAGACCTAAATACAGACAAAAGTGAGTTTCTAAATATCAGAAGGTCTCTTTCCATCATTTAAATTATGCCATGTTTTTCCTTTTCCAGCTGTGCTAAGAGATTCCTGGTGGAATTTAACCTGAGTCTGGCTTTTCAGAAGCCCGGGTTAAAGATACAGAAAGAAATGGCTGTGAGGCCCATCAGCAGCTTCTAGTATTGGGTAACCTGTCAATGAAGCATCTTTCCAGTTTCACTCGCAGGTTAATGCACAGAACATTTCTCAGGCAGGTATGTCCGCTATCCAGAAGCGGTCTATACAAAGCCTTCACTTTTGCATCTGTAAAGTTAGAGGCTGCATAGCAATGAGGATCTTTCTCCTTACATTCGCTGAGATGCAACTTCAGCCTGTAGGGAGGATGGGATGTTTGGTTCAAAGATCTGAATCATTTGAAGAGGGGTGACACTAAGGTTCCTGTTGAGGTGTTTTGCACGCTATCCTCAAAATAAATGCAAGGGATTGAAACATCTTCATCCAGCAGGAAAAGAAAAGCTAATTTAGAGTGAGCATGGCCTGTGTCAAGGTTGTCCTAAAAACCCTCAAGTTGGGCCACCAGCTGACAGCTGGTTTGGAAGGACAACTAAGGAAAGCAGCAGAAGCAACTGAAGATGAATGGTGGACCTCCAGAAGATCAAAATGAAAGCATAAGACAGTGTTTCTCAACCTTGGAAGCACTGTGTGTAAGTCAGACATGACTCTGACTCTACCACAGTCAGAGTCCTGATGAGAAAACACAGAGGAACTTATTGTGAGGGAATCATGTGAGGGGGGGGGAGGAGGAGGAGGAGGAGGAGGAGGAGGAGGAGGGTCCTCGACGTGTTCTCGAGGAGAGTGCACGTAGATCTCA